TATTAGTAACGGGTATGAAAAATTCTATCGATAATTCATTTTTTTTTTTTTTTCAAATTAAGCGAAGGAATCCACGTGACAAGGTTAAGTGTAAACCATGTTAAACATATCCGCCATCTTGCTACTCGTTTGCGACTTCCATTAAACGCATTGCATTCATGCTCTGAGAAACGTTGCTTGTTTCATATTATTCATTGTATATCATTATCGTAAACTAACAAAACCTTTTCTACTCTACACTTTATGCAATCAAGAAATTCTTTTATTTTCATCTAACAAATCAAGCACTATTCGAATATCTCTCTTAAAAACCACTCTTCTTCGTCAAACTTTATTCATGGTTCTACGTAAACTATCCAACTATCGGGAGATAAGAAAGAGACGAAATCCTCCGATCAACGCCTCATTTGCAGTGAATCCAACGCAAACAACGATATCAAACAGCAAAAGATAAAACGGTCCCGACCTAAGGTCATGACGAATCGTTCATCGAAACGAAAGAACAAGACCTTTATCGAGCATCGTCTTTCCCGGACAATCGTGCGATAATACGTGGGAACCGCTCCCGTTTAGCCGCGTGCGTTCCACGAACGTGAACTGGTTATCTCGAGTCGAGCACACCTGCCAACATGGCTTCCGCGGGCCCAGCGGTCACGGCTAGTCCTAGCGGCCATGTTGGAATCGCCAATGCCCAGAGAAGAATGCAACAAACCTGGACCACCTTCTCTCCATCTTTGTCTCGGTAATCAACCTAAACGTTCAATCAAAGCGTACGAGATCCTACGAACGAAGCTCACCAGGGAAGACTTCTCGATCTCGTGTTTACACTCCGCCGATATCGGTCCACCGTCGCATCTCTGCCCGAGACGTGTGATCCTGTCCAGCGATCGCTGGCGGAAGCGACACCAGGATCGGCTACATCGAATCGCCGCCACCAACGATTCCGCCACGGTTCGTTCTGCGACTGCTTTATCGTGAAACCATTCGTGGGCACCCACGTAAGCACACATACACGGACCCACCACACTAGCGACACACTGTGAATCGCGTAAGCGTGTGTTGATAGACGGACGCACGTCGATCACGAAACTCGCACACTCCTCGTCATGCTCCTCCTCGGGACTCGCGTGGATCGCTTCTTCTCTTCCTGGATCGCCGCGGATGGATCGCGATGGATCGAAGGGTGTGTACGTGAAAGAAAGAGAGAGAGTGAGAGAGAGAGAGTGAAGGGAGGGAAAAGAAGCGGAACGAAGAGGAAGAAAAGCGCGCAACCGCCGCGGACGCAGCACCGTACCCGCGTTTCGCGATCGTGGACACGAAGGAGCGCGCGGTTTACTGCGTGTTGGACGCCGCCAGGTAGGCTACCTCGACGCACACCCACGCAGCCGAAGCACACGCATGGTGCACACGCACGCAGAGCACACAGATAACCGGCCACGACTTGCCTGGGAGTCTTTCCGTTCGGCTGCCGCTAGTAGCGCTGCTGCTGGATGCTGTGCTCCGACTGACTCGCTCCTGGCCGGCGACGGTGCGACAGAGTCCGATGGAACCGGCCAATGGGAGTCCAACCGAGACGCAGGAGAACCTGGAGCAGGCCCTAGCGATGGGACCAACACCCTCCCGCGTTAAAGAACCCTCCTTGAACAACTTTTCAGCTGCCGTCTTTGCGTAGTATACGAGCATGGAATTTCGTTTTGTTTGAACTTTCATTTCTTTACAATTTCGTCATATTGCATTCGTAAAGTTATTACGTTATAATTTTTTTCGTAATTATATTTCACACAATTTACAAAAGAGTAAGTATAGACATTTTACTTATGATCGGAACTGTAATTAATCAATTTAGAAGTGAAACTTGTAGTTACGATATTCATTATTTTTTGCCAGAGAAACGCGCGAAAAGATCTAGAAAGGAAATAATTCTGAGCGGGAATATGTAACGATGAAAAAATAATCTTTTGTAGCCAGTATATTATAAATTGAAGAATGAAATGGATATTACATTAACGCAATATTGGTTCTTGATGGGTTAATGCTAAACTTCGAATACATTATCAGGTTATTGATCGATCGCTGTCTTTCTTTTCAGCATTTTTAATAATCTGTATACTACGTGATTTCTACTTCACACTTCTTCGTACTTTTAGTTTAGTTAAATCGTGACATAATATATGCAAATAAAAATGGATTGTTTCATTTGTATGCAAATGATAATTGACTGAATTAGTTAATTATGATGTAGGTTTTAGTGTTAGTCTAACGTCGAAATCCGAAAATTTTGACTGTGCTGATGTCTTTAGGGTGACATTAATGTTCAGAGTGTCTACACAGATGGTAATTTAAATGGAGCTTAAGTGACTATGGAAATACGGGAGTGATTTTACTCTAACATGGGCGTGCGAGAATGTGTTTGCGTAGTCTACGTACGGGATGAATTTAATTTGCATGAAAATTTAAATTACACATGCAAATAAGAGTTGGGACGATGTAGAAACGTACATTAAACAGGGGACTTAAGAAACAAGACAATGGTCACATTGTCGCAACGTTCGCAGTTCATTGAAACTAGACATCGTTAATACATTATGATATAATTAAATAACTAACGGAAGTATCATACGAAAGATAGCAATTGTTTGAATCAAGCGTACGTTTGTATCAGGTATTTTGGGACCAAAAATGTAAGGTAAACGTGCAATGTAAAATTTCTAAAAATATTTAGACTAGATTGTTGATTATTTAAATGGAAACATGTTTAATTACTTGATAAGTACTCAAATTATTAAAAAAGAGTCTTCATTTGGGAAATGATTCTTCTTATAGACAGGGACTAATTCAATCAGTGTTAGAAATGATCTGTATATGTATATAGATAATTATAATTATAATACTGTCTCCACGAAAAGAAACTTTATGAAAATTTCTTTTCCATCCGTTCCAACTATTTTTTTTTCTTTTTTCATTTTCTATTCTATTCAAACAATTTCAGCAATGTTCAAGTATAACTCCAAAACTCGATTACAGGTCAAACCCATTGCTAACAGAGAGGAATGAGAGAGGGAGATCCACGGGTACCTACCTACGACGCGATGCCGCGCAGGTTGAACGCAGGAGGTTTAGGTAGAGACGTGGTATGAGGAACAGGTGCGTAATACTAAGGTTCGGTGCCCCCCTGATCGATAAACACCGATCTCCTCCGAATCCTATAGTCTACAACTCACATGAACATTCCCCTCCTTCGGATCTAACCTAAACGTACCTTCAAACACCATCAACACTCCGCCACATTCCTCAAAACAAACCATTGACTTATATCGCATTTACTTACGTGTTCGATCCTTCAGAAACGTCAATGGACCACGAAAAGCTTCTCCTTATTCATCTTCATCTGAACCACCTGTGTAAAGGAACGCTTGAATTCCGGAAGGAAACAACTATCACTCGAAGCATCGTTCGTATAGAAATAGAGGCGAACGTTGATCGCGTCACGTCCGAAACGGCAAGTTCGGACGAAGCGGGTAACGGAAGGTAAAAAATCGTGGGGCAGGTTGTAAGGTCCACCTGTAGGAAACTCGTGCGGCGCCGGCACTGAGGAAGGAGATCGGTTGTTGGGGGGGAGGGGCGGGAAGGAGGAGGGGGGAGGGGAGGGAGCAGCGGCCAGAGGCACTCAGAGAGATCGAGCCTCGATCTTTCTTCTTACTTCTCTTCTCTCGCTTCTTCTCCCTGGCCAGTCCCGTGTCCAGTCCATCCCTCTCCGTCACGCGCGCGCGCTCAGGTTCTTTTTCTTTCTTTCCGTCTCTTTTCTGCTGGCAGCAGCCGCCGCCGCCGACGCCCAGCCGGTTTTACACCGGCGAATCGATCCAATCGAGTGTGTCTCGGAAGAACGAGGCTGGCTCTAGTCCATGGATCGTGGATTTCGCTCCACTTGCCTAGAACAACCGGCGTAATTGTTCGTCTGTCTGATCCGGATGGATATTTTGCTCGCGCCGCGCTCCCCCCGCGACGAACCGGCGGCAGATCGAGCCGATCTCGGGATCACGGATCACCTTCGAGATTCGTCAGAACCTCAGCCAAGAACTGTTTCTTCCCTCCGTTTTCGGGTTACTTTCGTTTCCTTGCGGTAGCTATGCCGAACTGTACCGATTCCTTCCTCCGAAGACCGATTCAGCCCAGTCGAATGATCTCTGCCCGTCTCCGATAAGAAGGAGTATCTTTTTTGCGGTGGAAGGAAATAGGTTTCTTATGCATTTCTAAACGGATTTAATCTTCGTGTTATCGTTATAATAGAGTCACGAACAATTACAGATTGCTAAATCTATAAATTGCTACGATCGATTTGATTTCTCCTTTGTATTTTACATTCACCGTGACAACGATTGAATTAAATGAAAGCAAGTCGATCAAATTGAAATTTGTAAAACTAGGTTAGGTTTAATTGTAAACGATACAAGAGTGTTAAAGTGAAAGAAAATGCTTTCTTAGAATGCAATATTTTACATGCAAAACAATTTTCGACTCTCAAAAATATGAATCTGCATAAAAGCCCGCAGTAGTTAATAGTTTTCAAATAGTATAATAATTATATTCGATTATTTGATCATTCATGTTTGTAATGGTATTCATGGCTGCTGTTGCATTTTAATTTTTATCAACACTTACACGTTTCATGCTAACTATATTCGTTGATTATCACAGCTACTGCAATTTCGGTTAGATAACCATAGATTTATCCAGTTGAAAAATGGTCTGATTCATTTTATTCCTTACGCAAGGGAAATTTCCAATCGGACACGGTTCCAGCATTCATACAGCGATCGATTCGATACGTCTCGTATTCCGGCTATCATTGAGTTTTCTTATTCAGCTTGCTTTCTATTCCTCGGTAAAAATCGACCACGAAATCAGTTGGCGAACGCAGATCGAAACGATCTCCCGGCATGAATATTAAGACAAAATTCTCGAATGTGGGCTTCTCTTGTTCAGCATCCACCAGTTTCTAGCGTGATCAAATCGTATTCTCCGCAGTAACGCCGGAACAAACCCACCATTGATATTCCATCGACGTTCATTAACTATTTTAATGTCCCGTGAATTTTGATTGTAAAAATGGATCCCTCGTCGCCTTTGCAAACATTCAAGCAATAATACTCTTCTGAATTAAAATAGAAGTATGATTCACTCCGATGTTCTGGATTGTTGGCGAATGTGACGAGTTGAGACTGTGAATATTTACAATTCATATTTTTGCAAATATTCAGGTACAAGGAATTTAGGTACAAAAATTATTTTCTGTACTAATTGAAAATTGTAACGTGTACTACATTTTGAACGTTTTATTCATTCTTGCATATTATACGCGTTTTGTGTATTTCTGCACTTTGTAATTTTCTTTTTTATAAAGATATGCAATTTAGCGACGAAGCAGAATCTTTAAATTTGGTTAAATTATATTAACATTTAGAACAAAACCACTTTTGGAGTTTTGAAGAGGTGCAAAGTTTGGAACAAAGTTTTTTCTTACTTTTTGAATAAAATCAATTTTTCAAGTCATTTCACAAATTTATATAAATAAAAACATCGTAATACAATCAATTGCAATTTCAATTCAATTTATTTTAAAATAACAGCATCGCAAGTAGAATATTTATTTAAGGAAATTTTCATTTTCTTTAAAATTCTAAAATGCTTCAAAGGTTTGGAGGTGAGTGTAAATTTTGTTCGAAAAAGGACATTACTGCTTTTATGATCCTATAAACTTTGAATATCAAAATATCTTGAAAAATGTTTTCTACCTGTAAACTTTCGATTAAAGAAATCGATAGACTACCTTCAATGCAGAAAAATAAATTTTCCCGTTCTATCGATTACAAAAATAATCCACAGTCCAATATATCTTTCATACGTTAAAAAAGAAATTTGTAACCAATAGAAAAACATCGTAGATGCGGTATTCGACGAAGTTCAGCTCGACGTTTCGGAATTTAATTTCATATTGAAATTGCAGGATCATTAGCGGAAGATTGCAGCTGAGGCTACTATCGATCGTAAGCGGCGTATGCATTTTTCTATCTTCTGTGCGTTTATTATAAGCGTACGCATAGGTCAACGTCTACCTGCAGGTGTATTTGTATTCACGAACTGGCGACACGCAGTCGGGTGCAGTGTAAATGCTACAGGTACCTGCCAATGCAGAGAAACGTTTTTATGCACCATCTTCGGAGAGATAATGTAAGCCGTTTCTTTTCACTGGCCTCCTATATTGCCCAATATACCGACAAAGAACCTCAACAGCTTCTGACAAGTTTCTTTTTTCTCCTTTGAATCTCGTTTTGCTTTGCTTTTGTTCTGCCAAGCAAGGATCGAGGTGAAATTAAAGCATGATTAAGAGAGAATAGCAGAATATATGGTAATCAACGACATAAATTGTTTCTGAGTTTTTTGCAGTGTCAAGAACTCTTTTTTTTTTTTGACTAGAAAATTTGTTTCCATGATTTACATCCGCCTACTGATAAAATAAATATGTCTGGGAAATAATTTATTGATTTATTCTTCCAAGAATATCGGTTTATTTATAAAATACATTAAAGTTTAAATGTTATTTTTGCATGAAACAATATACGTTAAGCTGCAATTTATTTCAATAATTCATACGAATAAAATTAACTTTGTTTATTTTCTCTTAAGAATTCCAATTCTTTTCTAAGAATTAGTTGAATGTTAAAATCGTATGATCTGTACCACTTGTATTAATTTTACAGATTTATCAACAATGCGAATGCAATTTTTGTTTGAACAAAATTTTTGTTTGAAAAATAGTTCACTATCGATTCTTTTCTAAAAATATGTTGATGAATATTTGAATATCATGAAAGTATGTGACTTATATCATTTTCACATCAATTTATGTCAAGAACAATGATTTTGTAAATGCAAAAGATGAAAGGGACGAGACGAAACGTTGACGAATTACTCGACGAGTAACGGTATGCAGTGACGAGTATTTTTCCTAAAAGGCTCAGATACTAGGGAGAAGGTCAACACGGTTCCTTTAACGTGAGAAAAGAAATGGGACTCCGGGCGACAGGTATTTTACATTTAAATGTCGAAGTGGTTCGCGGTACTCAGATGCAAAATATACCACGTCGTACGTGATCTCGTATCTGAGAGCACAGCATGCATGAGGATGGACACTAATAATGAAGTCAAAGAAATGTTTCGTACCACAATTTAACTCTGTATTGAAACGTTTAACAGTTTAATGGTTTTACTGCTGATACATTCGTTTTTGC